GGGGGCCAGAGTGAGTCTCTTGTGTCTGTGCCTCTGAGCAGTGGGTGTCGGAGGCCAGGGCCCCTTCTGACCTCCCCATGCCCAGATAGTGCTCAGGAGACGTGACCAGGTCTCGATGGCTCCTTTTTTCGGGGGGTGATGCATTGGTTTGCCTTAATCCTTGGGGGTCAGTTTCTTAAAGGGGGAAGGAGCTTCAGCGATTGTATCACCCCGCTCTCTGCATGGCCTCTGGGAGCCCTAGCTTTGACCCCGAGCAGTTGATGCTGAGACTGGGCTTCTGCTCTGAGGCCCGGTCGCAGGCCTTGCCCGCCCGTTCAGATAGAGGAAACCGGTTACTGCGACAGTGCATTATTCCCCTGCCACCGAGGGAAGGAACAGTTGAAGTAGGGCTTCTTAAACTCCAATGTAGTCCCTTTGCTTCCCAGAAATTGTTCCCTTGGGGGTCACACCCAATGGTGCTCAGGGATCACTTCTGGTGGTGTTTGGGGCAGGGGAGAAGGGCAGGGGTTTGCTTTTTGCATTGCCCAGGATCAGACCTCGATGGCAAACACCTTAACCCCTGGGGTATCTCTCTGGCCCTTACCTTAGAAATTGTTACACAACGCTAGGTCTACAAAATAGGTCTCCAAGTCAAGCATCAACTTCCAGCGAACCGTGAGTTTACCTTATGACAGATTTTTCATGTTCCAACATTTCACTGAGTAACGTGCCCCCATGTGGCGTAGCAACCCCTCCCCGCCCCCACCACCCCAAGTTTTCTAAGTTTTCAAAGTGCTGGAAGCTGGTGCAGCAAATAGGGGAGCCATGACCTGTGTGTGTGTGTGTGTTTGTGTGTGTGTGTGTGTGTGTGTGTGATACTACCATGGTTGATGCGGTACCCTGGGCCATATAAAATAATAGTGTCTCCCCTCCACACTCACGGGTTGAAATCAGTTGAAATGAAATCCCGCTGAACTTGGAGCAGATAGGGCACTCGCTCACCTGGTCGCACAGCCGTGCCCCGCCCCCAAAAGTACAGGTGACCGCTTTGCTGGTTCAGACAGGCCAGCTGGACGATGCATAGGAGCAAGGCACAGGCCAGAGTGACCCCTACGTGGGCGTGAGATTCTGCAGATCTGGAGTGTGGGTCACGAGTGTCCCCAGAGGCCGGAGGATATGGCTGCAGCCCTGAGGAAGGTGCCCTAGCCGGGCTGGCCTCTGTGTCCACAGCACTGGGCGTCTGGGGGTCCAAGTGAGAAATCTGACTTCATCCAGGGGCTTGAGGGAGGGTGTAAGAAAACCCGAGTGTTGTGTGGAAGACCACAGGGCTTTTGTGAGCCATGCGGAGCCCGCGCCTTGTTTTAGGAGACAGAACTGGTAGGAACAGCTGCCAGGCAGGGGACTCAGTGCGAAGGGGAATGAAACACGGGCACATCCCCAGGAGGGCAGGTCATGCACTAGAGCAGGGAAAAGACCAGTCCTGAAGTGCGGACAGAAAACAGGGCTGGCCAGGATACTCCATGCGTCACATACGTCCTATTTTCACCCTCACAGAGTATGTCCTTGTAGATGTTTCCCTTCACCCCAGAGGGGACTGGCGCTCGGGACGGGGCGCACAGAAGGACGCCAGGCTGCCCCCCAAGACTCGGGCTCTGCACTCACAGCGGGTGAGACCAGGATCAGGCCGACTCATGAGTCTGCAGCTCAGTGGCCAGGGCAAGGAGGCAACTGGCTCAGCTGTTAGGGCTTAACATGGCTTTCTACAGAAGGGAAGCGGTTGGCATCTGTTCTAACCCCAGTCCTGCCCACGTGGGACCAGATTCCTCCAACTCCCCTGTCACTGGAGGGCATGGCCCAGGAGTTTGCTCCAGCAGAGAAGCGTGGCCCTAGAAACACTCTGCATGACACAGAAGTCCTGAGTAATCAGTCCCTCCTGCTGGGTGACTCGCCTGGGCCCAGCATTGAGCCCCTGGGAGCTCTCAGGAAGTGTGGTCCATGCTCCATCTCACTGAAGATGCAACCCCTGGGGATCCAGCCAGGACATCCTTATCCCTGGCGGCGGGGTCAGGGAAGGCATCCCGGAGGATGGGACCTGGGAGTTCCCTCTTTCCCTTCACTGGAGAGCAGTGTTGAGCTTGAACTGTCGAAGGAAACGTGCTCATCCGAATGCTTCCTCATGCCAGTTGCATATGCTTGGGTTCTGTTTTGTTTGGGTCAAGGGTCATCAAAGCCATCCTAAGCCTGTAGAGTGGGGAGAACTGTGTCCCTCCCTGGGCTGTCCAAGACACGGATGTGACTGTATAGATTCACACACGCCACATACACACACACATACACACACACACACACACACACACACGTGTCCTTTGGAAAGGATCAGGCCGAACTGAGAGTGTTGTGACCTGCCTTTGCCCAAGCCTGGCAATGTCCTGGGGTCTCCCTCTTCTGGCACATCATAGAAAAGCCCCACGTCCCTTCTCTCGGGCACCACATTACCGAGAGGTCGGGCCCTGCTGATGGGCACCTGGTCTGACACTGTTGGCACGTGCGTGGGCCGGAGGGCAGCATCTGCTTCTGGAAAGCTGCTTCACGTCACGTGTGACCCTGAGGGCATGCCCAGGCCGCTCAGACGAGCTGGGAGGTTTTTCTCGCTGCAGGAATAATGGGGTGGGGGTGGGGGCTGGGGAAGGATTGAGCTGCAGGAACTGCAAGTGAGGCACACGGGGAGGACCGGAAGAATGTCCCCACCCATCCCCCCCCCCTCGCCCCCCGCCATGCTGAACCATAACCAGACCCGGGCACAGAGAGGAGAGGCCAAATTCAGAATCTGTTTGGGGAGTCGATAGGGACAGCCAAGGGCAGTGGCAGTGGCCTGGGCCGTGGGTGGCCACTTTATGTTCTTGTCCTTAAAGATTTCCAGGCGTCTCATAGGAATTTTTTTTCTTTCTGAAAAGGGGACAAAAGGGGCCAGTAAGTTTAGGGACCTCTGGGTTGGCTGGTCTCACAGTGACCAAGCTGGGCCCCAGAGGAGCAGGAGAACACGAGCGAGAGAGACACCCATGGGTTCCATCTATGCTCTCGCTCTCTTCTCTTGATTTCTATTACCTCCATCGCCCTCAGATTCGGCCTGCTGAGCCGCAGTGTCACTGGACTGGCGACCCTGGCCAGAGTCCCCAGGTTAGATGTACGACCCTGGCCAGAGTCCCCGGGTTAGATGTACCTGCAGGTAATCTCCACCTTAGGTCCCCTCCTGTCCCGTCACCTACCCTAGGCACTCCCCAGGGATTAGCTGGTTCCAAGTTCCGAAGTGCTGAGCACAGCGGCTCCATACACGGCAAACCCGGTCCTGGTCTTGGGGGATGCACGAGGGGTGGGGGCGGGGGGGATGGAGGAGGAGGGAAAAGGGGGCACCGAGGTCCCGGCTCACCTGGCTGGTTTGGGGGGCGGGCACTCGGGCACACGGGTGCCTGCACGGTTGCTCCCTGGCAGCTCCTCCTTTGTGTAAGATGGTAATGAGGCCATTAGGAGCAGCTCACCTGAGGAGCAGCCTGTGAATCTGAGGTAATTAAACACCTCCCGAGTGAAAGGGAAAGGCCGGGGAGGTTAAGTGAGGAATCACCGGGCACCGCAACCTGCCGAGGAGGCAGCGCCCGCCCGTGAGGGCCGGAGTGGGCGGCGAGTTTAATGCCCAGATTAAGCCAGTTTCTTGCTCCTCGGGCTGGTTGGAACAGGAAGTCTCGCCACGGGGTCCCGGGTGCCGAGGTGTCTCGTCTCTCCTCCTGCGGGCTCCCCCTTGGTGGCAGCAGAGTGATTGCAGCCTGGGACATCTTCCTCACAGCAGACCAATCCTTGACGCCCAGAGGTTGACTCCAAAGGACCTCTGGGAGAAAGTTATTTTTCTGGGCCTCGGAGCAGAGGTGGGGTCATTGCCCGCTCAGTGCCCGTTCCAGTCATGACTTGTGACTTCGGAAGTCAGTCCCGCCTGCCCTAGGACTGGGGCGTTGTCGATGGTCTCCAAACTCAGTCCAAATATATTGGTCTCGGGCAGGATCCCTGGCCCCAGGCCCCACGAGCACTCGCTGGAGGTTTCCCCCCTTCCCCCTGGACCCTAGGAACCATCCAGCCCCTCCTGCTTCCCTTCTGCTTTGACCACAGGGTGCTCCTAGGTGAGCCCTGCAGCCCACTCTCAGCCTCTGTGTAAGAGCACGAGACCTACCTCTGCACACACTGAATCTCACCCCCCCTTCCCTTCCCCCCCCCCCCCCGCCCCATCTCTTCTGCTTCACTTCCGCTGGTGTGTGCACGCGGGCTGCTGCTCTTCCTTTGACGGCGAGGCTTGCGGTGTGTTGTTGCACACATTCGGTGTACGAACTCGCAGGTCGAACACAGTGAGCCACCTATTTCTGATATTTAATTCGAGGAGGAAGTGAAATTGGAATTTAAATTCCTGGTGCTGTTTGAGCTCAGAATCCTGGACTTGGATTCAGACCCCCGGTGACATGGCCCACTCATTGTGTTTGTTCCTGGGCATGTAACCTACTCCCTTCCACCCGCCTCCTGCCTTGTCAGCAGGGACCACCGTCCACCCTGCCTCGCGGGATTGGTGGAGGAATTAAAGTCAGAATCGTGTATGAGAGCGTTTCCGGGCTCACAGACTGCCTGAGAAGTGGGTTGTTTATGGGCTTTTTTGGTTTGGGGGGCCACAGCCAGCCAAGCTCAGAACTCTGGGATCACTCCTGGCAAAGCTCCAGGAAAGCTCCCAGGGGGCCGGGAATTAAACCTGGTTGGTCACGTGCAAGGCAAGTGCCCTCCGCACTGTCCCGTCACTTCAGCCTTGTTTGTGTTTGCACCAAAGATGGGCTCCAGGGATCAACCATCGCTGAGATCTCCCAGGCCTGCTCGGATGCTACCTGCGTCCTTGTCCTCCCAGCAGCTGCCGACGGGCCCCATCCAGGGCCCCCTCCTAGCTCTGTGGGTATCCAGACTGCCTTCACTCCAAGTCTTCTTTCTCTCCATCCCAGATCTCGTCGCTGAAGAACCGTCTGAAGAAGGTGTCCACGACCACGGGGGACGGCGTGGCCCGAGCATTCCTCAAGGCCCAGGCTGCTTTCTTTGGGAGCTACCGAAACGCTCTGAAAATCGAGCCGGTGAGTAGCCTCTGGGCCGAGGCCGGGCAGGTAGTTTTGAGACTCCAAGTCTGAACAGCGAATCGTGGTCACAGTTGTGCATTGTCTGTGCGTGTCTACTGCTGTGACCCCCTCCCCCTTACACTTTAAGTACCGAGAAGAATATGGGACCTTGCTGTCCCTGCCCCTGGGACCTCAGGACTCAGGGAACAGCCTCAAGACCCTGCCTCTTTGTGCCTTGCCCTTCACCCAACAGAGCATCCAGACTGGTTGAGCTTGCCTCGGTGTCAGGACAGGGTCTTGGTCACCTAACAGAAGGGACCATCCCTGAGCTTCCTAAGAAATGCCTCCCTCAGGTACTCTGAACCTTTCCACATAGAGCCTGGTCCCCGGGTGCTGCCGTCTCCCGGGGGGGCTGCCTCTGGGTCTGTCCAGAGCTTGGATCTGTACTCTGCCTCCCCGCCCCCCAGCCAAGCAGGCTCAGGGCTATGGGGGGCAGGCATAATTCAAGGGCAGTGCTGCCATCTTTCCAGCCCCGCAGAAATGGGCGGAGTGGCTTGGTCCTTTCCTTGGGCTGCGGGGAGCGGACAGGCATGAGGCACGTCCGTCCTTCTGATGCTCTTCAATGTCAGGTGGGCGTCTGGACCCCTGTTAGATCTTGGTACCCGTGGCCAGGGGGTACGCATGGCCCCGACTGATTCTGTAGTGGCCCTTGCGCATGGCTCTGGATGGCCCTGGATATACGGGATGAAAACCCCAGATGGGAAAGTCTTGCTGGCCTAAACCAGGGGGACCCCAGCACCTCTGAGCTCCAGCGTCTTTGGCTGTGAAGTGAGTGTAAGAGTTTGCATCGCCCATCCTCTCTCGTGGCTCTTGGGGGGTCAAACGAGCCTTCAGAGGTTGCACCAGAAACTTTTCCAGGGATGGGGGCTGCTTGCCTGGGGCCGAGGGTGCCTGGCCCCGAAAAGAAGCACCCCAGCATCCTGGGCTGGCTGTAGTGTGACAAGGGAGTAAGGGCCTGGTGGCAGGAGCCCCTCGGGGCCACTCAGAGGGGAGAGTACTGTAGTACTGTGAGTTGGGGGTGGGGAGATAGAATTGCAGGAACACCACTGGGTGTGTCCCCACCAAAATCACCAACCAAGTCAATAAGCCAACATAGCACATGGAGAGAGGAGGGTGTGTCTGATTGTAAATGTGACCCATTGCACTGGCTCCAGCCTGTCATTTTGTGCCGGATTCTATGTGCCGTGAAGAGGGCAAGGTGCTGCAGGTGACAGCTGTAGGACCTCCAACCCACCATCGGACCCGTGTGGACCCAGATGCCCTGACCAGAGAATCGGGTCTCAGGGGCAGTTTGAGGTGCTGTCAGGCTGTGTCCCAGTGCCCAAGGACTTTTAGACGGCCCTCAGGCGGACTTTCACCCTGTCTCCTCCATGTCCTTTAACCTCTAGGTTTAATTCTAGCCAGTTCTTGCCCCCAACCTGAGGGAACCCACCCTCCATACAAGATCATCTAGGGGATTCATCAAAATTGCAACTTCCCTGTGAGGTCGGGTCGAGCTGAGGGGTTGGGGGAGGTGGCCGGTGAAAGGCTGGAGTGGCAGGAGTCTGGCACTGAGGGAACGGGAGTGGGGGGGGTCTACTCGGGGGGTGGGGGGCACTCATCTTTCAGCTGTAAGTTGCGCACCTGCTCTTAGTGTTTAAAGAACCTGCACTGGACACACATGAGCATCCCTGGCGCAGCAGCTGGGGTCAAGGTGACCCATTAACTTGTTTCCGCAGAAGGTTCTAGAAAGGAGTAGGGGCAGAGGAGTGGGCTCCTCAATTTTGTATTTTTGCTTTTCTTCCGTTAGAGACGTTCTGGTAGAACGATCCGGTTCTCCAGTTATTTGTCTTTGCGCTTTAGCGTGTTATGAGCATTTTTTCCAAGATCCTGTTAAAAAAAAAAAAAAACACTGCTTGCCGAAGAAGATGTGAACTAGCAGTAGAGTGAAGGCTTTGCGTGTCTGAGGCCTCAGGTTTGCTTCCGGGACTTCCCGGCCCTTAAGGAAACCCTCTTCCTAACCAGCCTTTTTAAGGACTCAGCACATCCTGGCTCCTGAGTCCCGGCGAGTGAGGCACGATGGGCTTCTCCAAAGGCCACGTCACCTGAGGATGGCGCCATGGCTACAGAGCCACTGTACGGCAAGGAGGATGCTTGCTCTGCATGCGGCTGACCAGGCTGGGAGCCCAGTGCCACAACCCCTGCCAGGAGTGAGTGTGGAACCAGGAGTAAACCCTGAGCACAGCAGGGTATTAAATATGATTTTTTAAAATTTATTTTTATTCCCCTACTTGAATAGTTTTTAAAGGAAGACCACATAGCACCCTAACTCTGATGCATTTTGCGGGGGGAATGGGGGAACCTGCCCCCGGGGCCTACCCACCTCTCCCACCCCACCCCATCCCCGCTGCCTCCAGGACTAGCAGGAGTCAGCAGCCAAGTGAGCCAGGAGGAAGTGGGTAGGAGGAAGGTGTCAGCAGGGGGGGCCCACCCCAGCCCAGTAGCTGCAGGCTCGCTGATGGGACGCTAGTCAGACAAAATCTGAGTTTGGTGTTTTTAAATGGGGGCCACGGCCAACTCCTGGTGCTGCTCTTCTGCTCCTAGAACAGTTTGGGGGAAGAAAGGGGTCCTCCATCTGCAGCCCCTGCTCTCCCACTGACTCCGGGCTGGGGTCGAGTCCCAGCCTGAGAGGCAGAGAGGGGCAACCCCTCCCCGCGGCAGGGTCCTAGCACCCCACCCTAAGCCCAGAACTCACATGGGTTTTTTGATGGGTTTTTGTGTTTGTTTGTTTGTTTGTTTGTTTGTTTAAACTCTCTGGCTTTTTGTCTCTTTCTCTGCTGGAAAGCAAATCAGAAGGTGGCCGAGAGGGCCAAGGAAGGGGTCCCTCCTAAAGCAGCTCCAGCCACATGTTGGGATGGGGCTGAGTGTCTCTGTGCCGCCTTCTGCCCCAGGGATCAGCCACAGCCAAGCATCCAGCCTATTTGGCTACCCCTTGTGGGGGACACAAAGTGGGGGTAGGGCTGGGGAGGGCAGGGGTTACAGAGGCTCATGGCTCAGGGGACTTCCTGGGGAACTGTGGAGCCCCAGAGGAGTCAGCCCAGCCCCAGACTCCAAAGGCAGCTTCCTCCCATCGCTTCCTCTCGCCTGCCTTTGTTCGGGTTCTGTGCATTCCCCCCCCCCCCACTCTGCCCAGCCTGGCGGGTGGGCGCAGGTCAGTCCAGGGCGGGGGCAGGGCCTTACTAGCCGCAGCGGGTGAAAGAAACGTGGCCTCTGTCCACCCCGTGCCCACAGTTGTGTGGCCCCTGGCCTGCGTGGAGCCTTCGGGAGCGGGTGGTGCCCAGGGGCAGGGAGGGTGCCTGCAAATCACAAGGGCCGGTGACCCATTTTTCCATCGCCTGGAGAACCTCAGGTGCAAAGCCCAAGATGGTTAACAATCGCCGCCAAAGCCCGTCGTCCGCCTCCTCTTAACTGACAGAGCCACCAGCAGCCAGGCAGCCCCTTCCTCCGTGTCAGGCGGCAGCCCGGGCTCCAGCTCGTTTATTTAGGCCTGTCTTGCTCTCTGACACGCCTCCTCCTCACAGTTGCCAGGCAACTCGAGAGCACCAGTGTGTGTGTGTGTGTGTGTGTGTGTGTGTGTGTGTGTGTGTGTGTGTGGGATTAACTACTTCGGGCTGGGGTCCTTTTTGGCAAAGGGGGATGAAAGACAAAATGCTTTTAATTGCCAAGCCAAGAATCCCCCTCTCCGTCTCAGCCTGGGGGAGGATGGCAACTTTGGAAGGACATAGCCCTGCTGTGTGGCTCTTAAATTTGCTGGGGGGGTGGGGGTGGGGAGGGGGGTGTCCCCCTTCAAGACTCTCACTTGTCTTTCTACCCCTTTGTTTATAAAATCGCATCATTGTGAGATCAGTGTGAGACTTGGAACGGGGACACACACACACACACACACACACACACACACACGTCACCCTCCTCCCCCTCTCACCCTCCTCTTCCTAACACAATGACCTCGGTTCTTAAGGAACTTTCCAAAATAGAATCTCGCTTTTTATTCCATCCTCTTTTCTGGAAGGCGTTTCTGAGGGCCTCGCCCCTGCTCCCTGGAGCCGTCCTAAGACAGACGGTGCCTGCAAGGGAGCTTGCCCCAGGGCTGCCCCCCTGCAGGTCCTTGGCAGAGGTTAGTTCAGAGAGCAGAGCCCCGGGGTGGAGGGTGTGTGTGGTGGGGGGGGGGGGCAGGGGGTGCCATGCCTGACACCGCCTGTTCCATGCCCGTCCCTGGGGGAGAGGCCTGTGGAGACAGCTGTCTGCAAGTGGTTTATTCGCCAGGCTCCTGTGGCTCTTCCCTGGGCCATCCTGCTGGGATTGGGTATTCCCTGGGGCCGGGCAGGAGGCAGCCGCTGTCCACAGGAAGTATATGCTTGGGTTTAGGGTCCTGGGCTGGGGCTCATGGGGGTTCCCCATAGACTCCTGCAAAGGAGGCTGGGCTGGCAGAGCCCTTCCCAGGACCCCCCCAGCCTCCAGACGAAGTGCTGGCTCCTACCCGCCTTATTCAGCAGCCCCTGATTTTGTACAAGACTCTGCCGAGTCACATTGATCCACCTAAACCCCCTGGAAGGCCAGGAAGTTCTGTAAAGGCAAACAGATAGCCGGGCTTTCAAGCTTGACCGGACGGGGCCGTCTTGGAGCAGGTCGGAGAAACGCAGGTGGATCTGTCTCCTGGTTCACACCGTGATCTCATGGTTTACAGAACAACAACTATATTTCTGTGTGCTTTCAGTGTAACAGGGCATAGAAAGACAAAGATTATTTCAAAAAGAGAACAGAACGTCTCTCTCTCTCTCTCTCTCTCTCTCTCTCTCTCTCTCTCTCTCTCTCTCTCTCTCTTTCCCCGCCACCCCCGTCCCACTGAATTTCAGTGCCCCTTGGGGTGCGTTCCCTTTGGTCAGGAGCCATGGGGCAGTGTGTACCCAGCCTTCTGCCCA